AAATTATTTCTTATTGAACTATCTTATATCTATTGTACGGGTAGGTGTCTGCTTTTTCACCATTTTTGCCTACATTACATTTTATCATATTATTCTACACATATCAAATATTTATGTGGAAATATCTGCTCTTATCGTGTCTAATAAAATCCAAACATTGAAACCTTGCCTAAAATGGTACCCATCTTGAAAAAATATTTGCACCTGCCTTTATTACGGACTTTGGCACACTGGTTTGGTAACATTATTGAAAATAACACGACGTTTTGGCTGTAAAATATGGCACAAAGAGAAAATACTATTTAAGCAGCTACTCTCATGACAGAAAGGCCATATTCTTTTTAAACTAGATCACATAATCCTTTATAAGATACGTTGATTAACAATATGTAAACGTCAATATATACGTAACAGCCAATTTACAGTATTTTTGCTTTTTGGAAATGCCCCATTGCTATGTCATTTGCATTTTGTTGTCAATGAAGCCGCATGACCATATGAACTAGGAGGCCCCTAACAGTTCAAGAATAAAAACCAACTTCACTTCAAGTATTCCACTACACCTAACATTCCGTAGAGAGATTATATTGACAACTTTATGGATAAGGCTGAGACAACTAACTGACATCCCCCATGTCAAGGAATTCCAGCAGTAACCCACAATCAATTTCTCAAAAATATGCTAGAGGGTTCATTCATTAGCACAGAAGTACGATATGAACTGACGCGACGTGACGAAGGAAAAATCAAACTTACACTGTAACGGATATACCCCTCTGAAGTTAGAATATGTCTTCCCAAACATTATTTTCTTTTGAAATAAAATCATGTTACAAATCACGGACTTGTTTAGCTACAAAAGATCCATCAATACGATTTTAATACTGTTTAAAAGTTCTTCCTAAGAAAGAGATAACATACTAATAATAACACCGATGACGTACGGTATGGGGAATATGTTATTGAATGATCAACCAAATTTGGCAACTAACGCAATTAATATCATTATTGTTGTTACACTTATTACTCTTTAAACAATACTAAATGCTCAAAATATGTATATTTCACCCAATTTATTGCAGTTAGATGAATTAAGGTAAGCCTTGAAGAAAGTAACCGTCGATTTCGACGGGTTTCACCTAGTAGATTTCTAATAACCCAATTACAGTAACATGTAGGCCTATTCACCTCTGGTTACTCCCCGTGGACGTCCAAATTTTAAATGTTAACATTTTAGAAGGGTTAGACAAATCATGAAACTCTAAAATGCTGTGGAATCCAACCAAAAATAAGGTAGAAAATAGAATTTAAGACAAACATTCGGTGATTGGCTCACACATCTACATGTTTTTTTAGTTAAAAATGGCGTCAGCTGGTCCATATAGATGGGATGTTTACTTCAGTACCCAATAGTGAATACGGTGTACATTACATGTTTTGGTCGAGTTTTCGACCACCGGACGACCACTAGTATTATTTAATTTATAGATCACTTGACTTGATTAAAGTAAAGCCATAGATAAAACATACTCCCCTAGTAGATTTTTCATCCCGTATGGAACAGCTGAAGCCCGTGCATAACCAAACAGTAAACCACAAATCCTTAAATTAACCCTAAAATAATAAAAAAAAATCCGTCGACACTGACGCACGCAGTGTCGCCGAACATGAACTAGACACGAAAGACGAGCTTAAAAATTTACAATGGGATAATAAGTCTACTAGTGGTTGGTTAGTCAATGGTTTCACCTAGAACAAAATGAGCCTTACGCGCAAAACTGGGGTTTTTAGTGTTCGTATTTTTTATTTCCAATGGACATAGGCACGTTTCAAGTAATTAAAAGCCTTCTCAAGCTTGTAAAGAATACATCAAAATAGTTATATCGTGATCTGTTTGTTCGTTTTCCCGTCGAAGAGAGCGTAAAATAACATCTTGTGCGTCACAGACAGACAGGCAGAAATTGAGTTAGCACGCGTTTCTGCTTTCCTATCGTATGACTCGTTCCATACGATGAAACTAACCGAAACATTTATCATTCTAAGCCATGTACAGACAAAACTCTAATTTTAGCGAATTTCCCATATATTCCATATAGCAATTACAGTAGGTCTCATGGTAAGACTAGATCCAGGACCGATTTACTTTTTCGTTTTGATAGGGTGTTTTACGGGGTGAAAATTGATTTTTCCTATCTTTGACCCTAAAAACACAAAGTTTTATAATTTCCCTCCAAGCCATTTTGTAGAGCTTACAATTTTTTATGAATATTTTTGTAAAAATCGAACCCGGTAAATGGAAATTCTGGAAAGTCTGCAGGTTTGTTGCGGCGGGAGTATTATTTACATAGATTTTTGGTTCTTATGTCACTGAATTGTATTCACAGCATTAGTCATCAACATAAATTTCTGTGTATTCAAAATATACTGAACTAATAAGTAAACAATTGAAACATAGTTCAAAGATTTGAATATAGTCGAGTAAATCCGTAAGACAGCCCAAAGAAAATTGCTTAATTAAAGATTGGTTATTTTGACTAAGAATTGTGTGCATTTACTAGTGAAACGGTGTAAAGAAATCGGAGTCTCTGAAGTCCAAAATTAAAGATGGCGTAAACGACGTATATGCATAAAATAACGGAAGAATAGGATTTTACCAAAAACGGTCAAAACTATTTTGATAAAAATTTGGTATGTTATAGTCCTTTATATTCTAAAGAAAATGGTACAAATCCCATTTCTGTAAAAATTACGGTTCAAAAGTTATTGTAAATTATGTTATTTTCCCATAAAAAACCCCATAAAATAACGGAAAAATCGGATTTTCACAAAACTGGCCCAAAACGATTTTGATAAAAATTTTGTATGTAGTCCTTTAAATTCTTAACAAGATTATACTAATCCCAATTCCGTATATTTACTCTCACCGCTTACACAATATGATAAAGGTTGTTGACAAACTTATGGGAGAAAGTATGTGTCAGAATGCTGATACCGTTTATTTACTTTCTCCCCCTATACCATAGTATATGGAGAAAGTATTGTTTTCGTCAAAATTTTCGAGTTTGAGTTTTGAGTGGATATATTCGTTTTGGGTCCCCCTGGACCCAAAAAAGTGGTTTTTGAAGTGATGTCTGTGTGTGTGTGTGTGTGTGTGTGTGTGTGTCTGTGTGTGTGTCTGGATGTGTACAGAGCTAGGGACTACACCTGTGGTCCGATTTCAATGACATTTGGTATGTAGGTTCTAATCCGTGGTATCTCCAGGCCTTTTTTTCATTTTTTTAATTTTGATTTTTTATGGGGATTTTTCCATAAAAACCCATAAAAAAACTGGAAAAATCGGATTTTTTCAAAAATGGCCCGAACGATTTTGATAAAAATTTAGTATGTCATAGTCCTTTAAATTCTGAAGAAAATTGTACAAATCCCATTTCCGTATATTTACTCTCACCGCTTACTCATGAGAAAGGTTGTTGACAATCTTATGGGAGAAAGTATGTGTCAGAATGCTGATACCGTTTATTTTAATATTTGACAACAGCTAATTTGAAACCAAAAGGTGAGTGAGCTTAGCGAACGAACTTCAACCCGGAGGCAAGTTAGCGTAGCGAACGAGCTAACCTGAAGGCAAGTGAGCGCAGCGAACGAGCTCCAACCGTAAAGGTGAGTAAGCGTAGCGAACGAACTTCAACCAGGACGTGTGAGCGCAGCGAACAAGCTCCAACCTAAAGGTGAGTGAGCGTAGCGAACGAACATCAACCAGGACGTGATTGAGCCATGCGAACGAGCTCACATATGAAGTTAAACGGGGCAAAGCCCGCGGGTACAGTTAGTTGTTCATAAGCATGTGCAATATTTGATGTAATACTAAAATTTAAAGGCTTTACTTTCAATTTTTTTTAAATTTTATTGTTAAATTTAAAAGTGATTACTAGAACCAATATTTATAATTTATAATAGTATAGATTCCGTTGCACATTGCAACGTGCTTGCAATTATACAGGTCTTATAATAATAATGTTTCATTTTTGAAATCCGAATGGAATTAATAATAAATAAAAGTTTTTTCTCCCACTGGTAGCTACGCGCCAGTTCTGGTTACGATAATTATAAATCCCTGTGTTGTGAGGGAAACGCCACCGAGCGTCCTTACTCGATAATGGGGGCGAAAGGTGCCAAATTACCCACCCGGCCTTGGCGCGGGGATTTCTAAAGCGTCCGTCCGCGCGAACCACCATTTTGAGGGTGTCCGCGTCAAACACGTCTGGGCTAAACACGGAGCCAAAGTGGGCTGCAGGTTTGATTCTGGCTTGCCATTGTAGATAGTGGGAGTGTATTCCAATATAGGCGTATCCGCCATAACACTCTTTAGCTATAAATAATAAATAATCTTTCATACTGTTGCGGGCTTAACGGGTTCTTTACAATAAAACTTGGCGATTTTATGATAACTGTTTATTTACTCTAATTATTCTCTATTTACAATATTTGCAATTACCTAACACCTAACTAACCCAATCTAAACCTAGCTAATGCCTATTCTAATTTACAATGTTTCTACTTACAGCTAGCCTCTACAGGATTTATCACTACTTCTGTTACAGCACTGTCACTAGTGTCACTACACTGTCTCTACACCGTCACTACACTATCACTGCCACTAGCACTAGCACTGGTCACTAACACCGACGGGCGCTAGCTGCGACGATTCTCGGAAGGCTCAACTCAACTCAACTGCCGTGTGCCGGAAGACGGTCCCTTATATAAGTTTTCCGTGGAACATTCTGGAGACCCCTAGTAGCCTAGACAAAGGTGTTAACGCCGTAGGACTGTAGAATGTTCTGGGTCCCTATTGAGGTAGTCCGTTAATTGACATGGGTCTATTGTCTATCACTGGTGCGCTTGGAGAAACCCGTGTAAACAAACAACCCTTTTGAGACGGCGCCTGGCTATTGTTGCGCGGGGCTCCTGACTTGTAACACTACCCCCTCCTTAAGACTGTTCTATCCCAGAACAGATTTCCCCTGAAGCTTGCGATCTTCTGGTCCACCAGAGGTTCCCCATGGGTTGTATACGCAGACCACAATTTCGATGCCAGTGTCCTTAAATAGATCCTGCACCATATTTCTCACAATCCTCCATTCCAGTCCGTCATAACCACATCCCAGCCTGGGAATAGCAAGCTTTTTGATTCCAATCCGAAGAAGCTTGTCTCGCAGGTCTTGCAGGCTTTTCTTCATCGATTCGTAGGAGTGCTTCTTACTTGACGTTTCCTTCGTAACGAGGTAGAACAAATGCTGGCCGTTGCGCTTCAGGTGAAGCGCAACGGCCAGGGTCGTGCCAATGGTGGGGCTCTGCCGCTCAAGATATTCGGTCCCTCCAAACTTTTTCCTGAAGACTGTGGCTATACCTCGCGACGCTCTCAGGTCTTCTGCTACGCAGTGTGCCAAGGCATATTCCACTGGCAAGGTGAAAAGGTCCTTGTATAACGGCCTCGGTTCTTCATTTCTACGTCTCTCAGGCACTACGTCTTTTGGCTCGGTCGACAGGTTACGAACTTGTTGTTCCTCTCTTTGGCCATGATCTCCTTTGTGTTATCTTTGGGACGTCTGTCAGTCTGTCACTAAACAACACCACTTGTGACGTTGCCAATTCTACTAGGCCGCGGCCTGTAATTAAAGGCGGCCGTGGTCGCGGCTATATTGTAACCGCGCCAATCACTTCTTTTATCGTGGTGTTCTATATATAGTTTTGATAACATTAATGGCTTTTAAATACAGGGTGATTTGTACTCAGTGTGACAAAATTTTTTTGGTGTAAGTACAAAGTAAATGAAGTGTGATGATGCATATCAAATGTTCCAAGTCTAAAAATTAGCTTCCCAAAAAATTATTTTATGTTTTTCAAAAATAACCATGTTTTTAAACTTAATACAGTGATTTCTCAATTACCTGTATATGGATTTGAGTAGATAATCTCATTTTCGTGTTCTATATTAAATTTTGAACAAGAATAATGGAAAATGACGGAGGATCAGTTGTAAAAACTCCATGGTAAATAGATTCAAAGATCAAAATTAAGATATTTGATAAAAACTTTAAAAACAATTGTCTATTGCATTTTTCACACCCTGTATACAAGAAAGTGTCGGAATATGTTAAAAACTGCGCCATTTTATAAGCTTTCCAACGATATGCTACACTATTGAGGTTTATGTCTGCTTATGTACGCTTTAATGGTTTGAAGACTACAAAGCATGGTGTCTTTATCATTTAAAACATAGAAAGTCAGCATGTATTAAAGCAAAAGTTGTATTTTTGATTCAGCTTGAACAGTAAAAACAGTAAAAAAGTTCCTTGTTTTCTGGTATTCAAACCACTAAAACAAGCAAAAGAATATCTAAACCTCAATAGTGTAGCATACTAGGTACGAATTCAAAATTATCATTGGCTAACAAAATTTTACTGTATAAAGTTATGATCAAACCAATTTGGACATACGGAATTTAACTTTGGGGGACCTCGAGCAAATCCAACATCGAAATTCTTGAACGATTTCAGGCTAAGGCACTGAGAAGAATTATTGGCGCACCCTGGTTCGTATCCAACACTACAATTAGGAATGACTTCAAAATTAAATCAGTGAAAGAAGAAATTACAGACCTTAGCAAAAATTATCAAGAAAAATTAGAATATCATCCGAACAGTCTTGCTGTTAATCTGCTGGACAATAGTCAGTGCATTACCAGGTTAAAAAGTGTTGTGCATGTGCTGGACCTAAGCTACAGATTTCTGTAAATGTTTAAATGACTGATTTAATTCAGTGATAGGTTTAATTTCAAATTTTTGGCAAGACTTGTTGATGAACAGGTGCTTGCTTCCTGACATTGTTTGATATATGTTTTACTTATTGTTCTCATATTTGAAGTTTGAACAGATTGTAAAATAAATTATGATAAAAAAAAAAAATAGTGTAGCATATGGTTGGAAAGCTTATAAAATAGCGCAGTTTTTAACATATTCCGACACTTTCTTGTATACAGGGTGTGAAAAATGCAATAGACAATTGTTTTTAAAATTTTTATCAAATATCTTAATTTTTATCTTTGAATCTATTTACAATGGAGTTTTTACAACTGATCCTCCGTCATTTTCCATTATTCTTGTCCAAAATTTAACGTAGAATACGAAAATGACATTATCTACTCAAAACCATATACAGGTAATTGAGAAATCGCTGTATTAAGTTTAAAAGCATGGTTATTTTTGAAAAACATAAAATAATTTTTTGGGACGCTAATTATGAGACTTGGAACATTTGATATGCATCATCTCATTTACTTTGTACTTACATCAAAAAAAATTTGTCACACTGAGTACAAATCACCCTGTATATGGAATTGTTATTCATCTGCTGATTATCGTTAACGTTTAGTATTCAATCCTATCATAAATATAGTTCATTCAAAGAGTCTTAGTAACTATATTCAATAAGAAGCCACTACAAAAAATACACCTTGGGTGCAACAGTCTAAAGATTGTTTTCAGCCTTGGAAGAACTAAACAGTACCAAGAACGTCCCCTGAGGACTTCTGGAGATAATTTTATTTCACAAGGCCCAATCAATTTTTATTTAACATCAAGCTTCCATTGCCAACGCTGTGTTGTAATATTTTTGTTCACTTTGTTCTTCCAACCCAGGGGCAACCAATATTTGTAAAGAACTAGTCAGTTGAGAGGTATTTGAGAGTATTTACCAATAAAAATATATTTGAATATTTATATTTAAATATACTAGCTGTTACCCACGGGCTTCACCCCGTTTGACATCATAAGTATTAATAAAACTATTGATTGGTTAAGTTAACCTGAAATAAACAAATTACAGTAAAAGAAACAAATAATCACACTTGATTTTAATATGGTAATAAATTGAAAGATTAACAAACAAATAAGTACAGCTTATTTTTAGTAGTATTATGGAAGTATTTGTAATATTAGGTATATGAAAAGTTCCCTTTAGAAAGGAATTACGGCCTTAAAGGGCAATTTATGAAATAATGGATAATTTTGCGCAAGGTTTCTCGTCATGACGAACATTTTAAGTACCTATATGGTTTATGGGGGTGTGACTTGTAGTTTTCTCAAAAGTTCATGGGTACTTTTGGCTTTATATATAGACTAGCTGTACCCGCGGGCTTTGCCCCGTTTAACTTCACAAGTGAGCTCGTTCGCATTGCTTAATCACGTCCTCGTTGAGGTTCGTTCGCTACGCTCACTCACCTTTTGTTTGCAAATTAGCTGTAGTCATAAATTTAAAAAATCAATAGTGCTGCACCCTGTTGGTAATCCTTGTAACTTTAATGCTATTGAACATCATAGAACAGAACCAACTTGTTTAATTGAAACAGCTGTTAAGAAATTCCTTTTAAATATGAAAAATCATAAGGTTAACATGGGAAACTCCAGAGCCACTGGGGCGGAGCCCGAAAGCCCGATCAGAATAAAAACTACTTAGTTTTCCTATTTAATGCCCAAAGAATCGGTGTACCGAATTCAGCCTCCTAGGTAAATGGGAAGTGGGAGAATTAGTGATGAGTGAGTAAATGAGTGAGTGAGTCAGTCAGTCAGTGAGGGCTTTGCCTTTTATATATTTAGATATTGTTAAAAGTCAGTTCTTTTTCTTTACACTTTTACTTAGTACTGAATCACTTGATCACAGTGGCGTCATTTCACCAAATCCTTGGGGGGGGGGGGGGGTGAACACTGGGGGTATAATTGGCAATTTTAGAGAAAAAAGAGGGGTTTAAACTTATTTTAATTGTCAAAGCACTTCGAATGAAAACAAAGTTATGAGTAAAATTTATTTAAATTTACAGAAAATTAATGAAACTAGCAATTATTGACAACAGACAGAAACATAATAATATTTTGGTAAGTTAGTCATCTAAGAAACGTGATCAATACTTCCATGGTGTATTAATTTTATTTTTGTTATTAGATTTATGACCAAATTCTCTTGTACAACATTTAGACTTATAGCAATGAATACAGTAAGTGTACTCACAGCCTATAGTTTTTAGAAGTATAATTTGGTTTTTAAATAAAACACAATTTACGTAGGCGTGTTGTGGTTGAACGTAGACAGTATTCTTTGGCGTATTGCATCTGTAGACGATACTTGGGTTGGTGTAATTATTACAATGGAATAAAGCGAGAAATCCTGGACAATTTGGCATACTAAAAATAAAACTGAATTAACACTGTGCTACATTTCTTGAGCAATTATTGACAGAACCGATTTGCATTTTGCAAACAATGAAAACATAGGAAAAGTCATAGAACATAACCAAGTAGAAGAAATATAAATAGAATAATGTTTTTTTTCTTTTAATATCATTATTATAGACAACCTAATGCGGCTATGAGTGGGAAACATTTGTAGAAAACACTAAAAAACAAGATCAGCTTTTGAAAAAAATTAGATATAAAAAAAATGATTATATCTAACTGCTGTGTACATCGTGAGTATTTCCACAATCTTTGAGCCACTGAGCCGACTCAAGTCATCGGAAATTATGACTGTAATTCGTTTTAAAATAACGCCTGTAATGCGTCGCAATTGCTCGAATTCGAGCAACAGGTGCACTAGTGTTGTTCGTCAAAGCTCTTGCTAAGCAAAAATACAATCGAAACGTCTCGAGAAGTTCAAACAATCGAAACGTTTCGATTGTAACATCTCGCAATCGCGCATCTCACTAAAAAAAAAAACACTAAACAGAGAGAAGTAGGAAGAAGAAGAAAATAGTAAGTAACTACTGTAAGTAACTAACTAAACTAGAGAAAGAGAAGTGATTAGTGAATGTGAAATGTCAAGTTAATTGTTCATCGTTCTGTCTCTGTTCTGAAAACTGAATTACTAGTTAGGCCTAGTTGGTATTTAGTGACTTAAAATATGAAGAATATAATAAAACACAACTTTTTATGTTCAAAATTATAACATAAATGGAAAACTGCAGAACACACCTTCAAGCTACATTCATGTGATACCTATTCCTACCGATTTTAACAACAGATTTCTCTGGTAAGATTTACTGTTATGATTTTACTGTTAGTTTAATCCTAGCCTGTTATTTAATTGGGATGTTAAAAGTAACTTATAAACTCTCATGTTTGCTTTTTTCTTGATTTGTTCTTTTAAAACCTTAAGGAATACCTTAAACATAAAGGTTAAATGAACTGTTTTTAGGCTAGGGATTTAAGTTTAATTATTGTAAAACATTAACTTAGGCTATAAGTTTTACAAATTCTAGCCTAGAACACCTAACACATTGAGTTTGAATTGCCTAACTTAAGGTAGCCTATCTCGTTTATTTCGATTTTTTCTTTTTCTGAGACAGGTAGGCTAAACTTAAAAATTATTAACCCTCCGAGTGTTATGTGTCGAAAAATCGACACATAACACACTTTGTGTAGTGTTTTGTGTCGATTTTTCGACCCACAAACACTGTTTACGGCAAAGGCTCTATGACTGACTGAATCGGATTGAACTGGATCGAGTTAGGTATCGTTCTTTTCCTTAAAACTTAAGCTTTCTCCAGAGGTCTGTCTCAGCGCTGTATGTTCTCTTAGCCGATCGTAATTGTAGCAGACAGCTGACGTGCGTATTTGTAATCAGCTTGGTTAACCTCGGACCGATGACTGATGTGTTTTATTACGTTTATCATTGTTTTAGTGTTAAAAATCAAAAGTAGTGATATACGTGGTGCATTATAAGAAGATTTAAGTGATTTTGAAGGGCTGGTTGATGATCCTGAAGAAGTAGGTAGTGATATTGATGTAAACTATCAGCCAGATTCCTAGCTATGGTTAGGCTATGCATTCTTAGCTAAACGCAATGTACTGAAATCTGTTTTTTCACTCATAACTTATTTATTTGATAACTTACCTCACTATATGATTACCTATATATTTGTAATCCTCATAAAATTTAGAACAAAGTGGCTATTTTCAAATATTTATAGGCCTATAATTTATACAATTTCATTGAGCGCAAACTTATTTTTTTTTTGAAAATTTTTCAAAATATTTTTTTCTTGGTAGCCTAATTATTTGGACGTAGTGACTACTCGCAAAAGTGAATTTTTTTTTTTATAATGACCTAAATTTCACGCTGAATCCGAAAATGAGGTTTTTATTTTTCGGAAAATACCGGAAATTCCCGAAAAAAGGGAAAAACGGGAAAAATATTTTTTTTACTCAAAATATGTCATGTGGGTACTCAAAATATGCGGAATATTGTGTAGATTAAGAATATACAAGAATTGTTTTGATCCGATGAAAAACACCGGAGATATGACGAAAAAACTGAATAATCTGTTAGGTTAGGCTTGGTTAGGCTAGGTTAGGTTTGGTTGGGTTTGGTTAGGTTTGGTTAGGTTAGGTTAGGTTAGGTTAGGTTGGATTGGATTTGATTAGGTTTGGTTAGTTAGGTTTGGTTAGGTTTGGTTAGGTTAAGTTTGGTTAGGTTAGTTTATCAATAACATGAGTATTGTAAGTAAACTAACCTAACCTAACCAAACCAAAGTTTGGTATTGTATTAGTATTAGTATTGTAAGTAAACTAAACTAACCTAACCAAACCAAAGTTTGGTTTGGTTAGGTTAGTTTAGTTTACTTACAATACTCATGTTATTGATAAACTAACCTAACCAAGCTTAACCTAAACTAACCTAACAAAACCTAACCTAACCAAACCTAAACTAACCTCATCATTAGGTTAGGTTTGGTTTGGTTAGGTTAGGTTAGGTTAGTTTATTTACAATACTCATGTTATTGATAAACTAACCTAACCAAACTTAACTTAAACTAACCTAACCTAACCAAACCTAACCCCAACCTAACCAAACCTAACCAAACCCAACCAAACCTAACCTACCCTAACCAAACCAAACCTAACCTAACCTAATGATGAGGTAAGGATAGGTTTGGTTAGGTTAGTTTAGGTTAGGTTAAGTTTGGTTTGGTTAGGTTAGGTTAGTTTACTTACAATACTCATGTTATTGATAAACTAACCTAACCAAACTTAACCTAAACTAACCTAACCTAACCAAACCTAACCTAACCAAACCTAACCTAACCTAACCAAACCTAACCTAACCTAACCAAACCTAACCAAACCTAACCTAACCAAACCTAACCTAACCTAACCAAACCCAACCAAACCTAACCTAACCTAACCTAACCTAGCCTAACCAAGCCTAACCTAACAGATTATTCAGTTTTTTCGTCATATCTCCGGTGTTTTTCATCGGATCAAAACAATTCTTGCATATTCTTAATCTACACAATATTCCGCATATTTTGAGTACCCACATGACATATTTTGAGTAAAAAGATATTTTTCCCGTTTTTCCCTTTTTTCGGGAATTTCCGGTATTTTCCGAAAAATAAAAACCTCATTTTCGGATTCAGCGTGAAATTTAGGTCATTTTGAAAAAAAAATTTCACTTTTGCGAGTAGTCACTATGTCCAAATAATTACCTTTTTTTTACCTAAAAAATTTTTTTTAAACAAATGTTCCTTATGTTTTATATATTGAAGCCCATGATTTTCCAAACAAAATGGTATATAGAACAGTATAATTAACATTGTTTTTAAGCTTCTCAGATCCGTTTTAATAAAACCTTGCAAATGAGCTAAAAATAGGCAGACATTAAGGCCAAAACAAGGGACACTCGGAGGGTTAAATTAGCCTAACTTATGTCAGTGAAATTTACAGGTTATAGGCAATTCGGCGGTGGTAACTTAGGCCTAATAGGCTACTGAACTTATACTACTTATGTTATATTGTATTTTCTTTGCCTTATCTACCTACCAAAATTAGTCTATTTTAAGCACTTTTTACCTTTGGGACTTTTGAGGGAAACACCTACCTAACCTAGGCCTAATTCACCCTGAAAATCGTGTTTGGACATTGAGAAAAATGCTAGGGTAATTATTTACCGTATTTGCCCTGGGATATGATGTAATTTTTATACCTATGTCTACTTACAGTATTTTTAACGCTGAATCCAAAAATGCAATCAGTTTTGGTCGGAGAGATTCCTAAGTGGCCCTACAGTTAAATAATTAATAAGCTTCAGTTTTGTAGATTTATTAACATATTTGTGGTATAGACGAGTCCAAGTTCTAGTGGCGACTAACACTAAATGGGTTGAAGGTTTGTGGAGTGGAAACAGCTGTCAGTATCCCAATGTAGTAAATACACAGTAAATATTTGCCAATGCTACAAATCAGCGATTTTAGGTGCTTGAAAATCTTATTTTTGCTTTAAGTAAAAAGTATTTTTGGCAAATATTTTCTGTTAGGTATCTACACTGGGATATGATGTAACTTGTAGTTTTTATATGTCTAGGCTAGGTCTACTTACAGTTTTTTTAACGCTGAATCCAAAAATGCAATCAGTTTTTGTTGGAGAGATTCCTAAGTGGCCGTAAAGCGACTAGGTTAAGATTACGAATCTAATTTAACTTAAGGATAATTGAGCGGTACTGAAGGTAGGCTAATATGGCGTGGTCTGGACGGGTCTCTATGTGAACTGAGGAGTGAGGAGGAGAGCAAACAGCTGTTTATACTGACTTAATGCAAAATGAAATCAATTTGTTTTGAAACCAAATAATCAGTTCTTATTTAGGCATGTGAGGAAGGTAGGTCGGGTTTTATGCGGATTCGTGACTGTATTAAGTGTTTTGAAGTGAGGTTAGATTAGGAAGCTAAAGGGGTAATTATTCCGTATAGCCTATTCATTTATTCGTACATACAGCAATCGCCATTTTACAAAATATGTTTGATTGGTACAGAATATTATTATAGGCCTACATTTTTCTTTCAAGCCGCTTACATGCAATAATACTATTAGATTCAATAATTTAAGTTGATTCGGTTGTAGGTACAATTAATATTAATTTACACAGAAATAACACAAAAATAGAGCATCAAAGACAATATAGAACAAAGTGAATCTAAGCGCAGTGATAATATAGTTCATGCTACATGCTATGAAAATCAATAAATACTACATGCCAAAGTGCATTCTACTGTACATGCTAAGTTTGTGCTAACTGTGTACGCTATGAAAAATTGACAAATAGGCCTAATTACAAGGTAAAAATCCAAGAAAAGGAACAGGAATAACAATTGACTAGCATGAAAAAAAACAAAATTAGCTCTTCCTCTTAATGTCCTCCATGCTCAGCCACCCAAGAGAAGACTTGCCTTCGAAACTTTTGAAGGGATTCACCAAAGAAATCCAACTGTTGGGCAGAGTTTCCAGAGCGCAGCAGACGTGGAATTACACTGTGGTAGGCGTAGACAGTCTGATGTGAGTGCCTGGAGAAAGGTTGTAGAAGGCGGGTTCCAGCAGGTACGTGAAGGTCTATGCAACGTAGATGTTCAGGGCAATTGATATAACCATTGACAATCTTGAATAGGAATATAAGGTCAAGGGCCAGTCGTCTAGATGACAGTGGAAGGATATGGTGCTGGTTTGCAATTTCTTGTATATCCACATCAGGATAACGGATGCCACTTCTAACACCCACCAAACGCAGGAAACGTCTCTGAACTTTATTTAAGTGGTCACAATGCCCAATCTGGTGTGGGGCCCACACAGTAGATCCATATTCAACGATGGGACGAACTAAAGTCACATAGAGGGTCTTCAATGTTGCAGGAGATAGGGCATTCCGTGATGCGCGAGCAATGAACCCTAATAGAGAGTTTGCTTTAGCACAAATCTTAGTGATATGTACGCCTGGATCCAAGGATGGTGTCATATACAAACCCAAGTCCTTAATCACTGTCACTCTACACAGGATCAAGCCATTTAAAGAGTAATCAAAGTGCAGCAAAGTTTTCGATCTTCCAAATGACATTACTTAACACTTGTCAGCATTCAGTTGCCTAGGTGTCTCCAAACAAATTTTGAATTTTGATAGGCTATCTTACTTTACAGTTTTTTACCTCCTGAATCCAAATATACTAAGATACCATTATTTTTCACTGCTGATGAATATTTCTCAAGATATCGCCGTAATGATATACAACATTACAATAAACAAGGTATGATAGATGACATTTACAAGTGGAATGAACTATGGGTTAAGTAAGCCAACAGCTGATTGTTTTGATTAATAGTCAAGCAAATGAAAGTGACAACTTTATTAGCTAACTCTGATTCTGCAATATGAAAATCACCTGATTAAGTTACACTTTTCACTTTCTAAGACCAATAAAACACATTTAATAACTATTGTTACCAGTACCTATTTTATTCTTATTAATGATTTATGTTTTTCCGTTTGGAAATTACATAATAAAATGGTGCTTTTCTAACATAACCTAACCATACCAAACCTCTAGAATGTAAGCAAACTCGTGTTGACGTCAGAAAAGGCATGTCAGGGTTGTAGGTTGTGCTTTATGTGAATTGGTGACTGCATTAAGTCCTTTGAAGGTAGATTGGATTAGGTAAGTCAAAATTTAGGTTAGCCTAATGTATCGAGTTGTTAGTTTATATCGCCTGCACACTGTTTTTGTAAAATTAAAATCCTGAGAAAAACACTTTGAACAAATTGCTATTTCAAAAATGCTTGCGTTTTTTATACGGCAATTATATCCACCATGCGGGATATAGGCTTTACGATTTGATGAAAATAGAATTTAAATCCAACTGACACCGCGAACTGAATTGATTTACACGACTCGAATTTAAGCGCACCTAACCACTAGGACAGGACAGGAAGACACACAATCAACTAGTGACTGCCCAGCTGGAGGCTCTCTCCCACCACTCGTAGTGCATAGTGCATTGTGGGTATCGTCGTCCATTGTCTAAATCATCTGAATAGGTCTTCGCATTTACTCATATTTGATGTCTATTACATCAAATTCAGTACAATCTATAGTGTGAATAAAAAGTCAAGACCCCCCTCTCTAATATTTTTCAAAGTAAATATACAGAGATATTATTTTGGTGGTCATGCAATCTTAGCAGAAAGTTTCATTTTATGATTTTAAAATTGTTGAGTGACCCCCAAAAGGGTAAATTTGGGGGGCAACTCAAAAATTTTAAATGTAAACCCCCATCTAGTGACACCTCATTTTGAAGAGTTTACAAAACCTTAAAGAATGGTGAAAACCAAAGTTTGCTATCTCTTCTCTATCCAAAATGGTAGCCCGTCAAAAGTTTCATGACGTTACTGTTACCTACATTTATTTTCTTGTGTAATAAAAAGTAATTTCCCTCCCTCTAATTTGTTCCTAAGTAAATATTACAGAGTTATCCTTTGGATGGTCATGCAGCCTTGGCAGGAATGTTTATTTTATGATTTTGAAAATTTTGAGTGTCCCCCAAAAAGGGAGGACTTTAGGGGCAACTCAAAAAACTTTAATGTAAACCCCCTTCAAGTGACACCTCATTTTGAAGTGTTTACAAAAACTTAAAGAAGGGTGAAAACCAGAGTTTGCTATCCCTTCTCTATCCAAAATGGTAGCCAATATTACCATTACGAACCAATATTACCATATATTTTCCACAACATTTGACGCACAATCTTCCAACTATTCAACCTCTCCACCTCGCACCACCTCCAACCTGCTCCAACCTGGCACCTCGGACCACCGGACTTTCCCGAACCAACCACGGCAGAGAGCGGGATCCACCCCCCCTGCGGAAAGAGGAAGGCATTGTGGGGACGACAGTTTGTTTCCCTAACCTGGCAAAAATTGGAATTGAATTGCTTTCTGTTTGGAAATAAAAAGGGACGGACAACTGCACGCACAAAGGTTTTTTTTTTTTTTTTAAATAAGGTTCTCTTCCTAAGGTATTGCTGGTGCACTGTGGGGGAATTTGAGATCAGCTGGTGTGTCTTCTGGTGATGCAGGTCTTGAGAGGTGCTGATGGTATGGGCTAAGTGTTGAGGCAGCATGCTGAGTGTAGGCAAAGAGATGTTGTGTGCTGATGACTCATGCGGACAAGGCCGGAGTATCGCTGACTGATGATGGGGGATGTAGAAGATAAATGTCTCTTGTGGTCCAAAACAGATGTGCACGATATTTCATGATTGATTGGTATGCGGGAAAATTGTAGAGTTGTTAATTGAGTTTTGCTTTTTCATTTGATTTAGGCCTATTTATTATTTTTTGCTTGCTTTGATTGTGCAGTTGTCTGGTGTCTATTAAATAATGCTGGGGGAAATGAATATTTAATCAGATCGCAGATGATCGTAAAAAAATTATTTTCAAGGTGACTGTCGTTGTGGAAATGAAGAAGGGTTGGTCGCAAGGTGGAGGTCCGATCACTGACGGGTTGGCTCGGACTCAAAAGGTGAACCATGGGTTCGTTGGGGCCGAGCTACTCAAAACCAGACTGATGGAACTCGCGGGTACCGTTTTGGGGTCTGTGTGTTGAAGGAGTTTGGAAGGATAGTAACTGTTCTTGTTGAAACCTTTTTTTTTTTTTTTTTTTTTTTTTTTTTTTTTTTTTTTAATAAAGAACGTTTCGCATGCAAATTATTACGCATGCAGAAAATTGCGCGTCGGTAAGCGCTAGAAAAAGGTGGGAATAGGTTTTCTTGGGATTCTGGAGATTGTTTCCTTATCAAGTATTTCCTTGAGAGGCAAGATTTCCGGTTCGTTTGTTTTTTTTGTAAAAAATAAAAGTACTGAGTTTCTTAACTAAACTGGTAACTATTTCTCCCCTAAATCTAACTAACTCTACCTTAGTGACTAATTAAGCTAAGAAGTAAGAAAAGAAAATAAGGGAGGTAAAGGAAAGAATAGAAAGAGAGTTTGTCTCTAAACACTCGACTAGCTAGGTCGCCACAGAAGGTGCCATCACTGAGCCCTTTCCTACGGGGGTAAAAATAAGCAAAATAAAAAATAAAATTAAATCTCCCGTGGAAAGTAATCACAAAAAACGTGATTCAATCAAAAAAAATTCTTTACTGAACTCAGTGAGGGTGCGAGAGACGAAGAGGGAGGGGTAAAAGATTTGGCCGACAACGCACGGAGGAAGACGTGTAGGGCAGCCCATCCTAAGGAAGGATACCCCGAGACTCACTTTCCCCCGGGCGTTGGCGGGGACAGCGACAGATTGAGAAGACTTAACCTAATATCACTTTAGCAGAGTGTTCTGATCTGGGTAAAGAGATTGATCTTGTTGTTTCTTTAAAATTGTGGCTGAAAAAATCGTTTTAGATGTGACACATGTGCGTTCCTAACAAATTTTCCGGTTGAGGGATTGATCAAACGTGCTGTGACGGGAGAAGAGAAAGCTTCAATTACACATGGTTTGGACCAGACAGGGAGTAATTTCTGATTGATGGCGTCGGCGGCCCTACTGAGGTGGTGTTCTCTGAACATTACCCAGTCGCCTATCTTGTAAGGGTTGGGTAATCTGTCCAGATCATATTTTTGTTGCCTGAGCTGCCTAGCCTTTGTGAGGTTCTCGACGGCTCTTCTCCACTCTTCATTGGAAGATTGTGGGGCTATTAACATCTTCTATTAACGGGCTACCATCTTGGACAGAGAATAGATAGCAAACTCTGGTTTTCACCATTCTTTAAGTTTTTGTAAACACTTCAAAATGATTTGTCACTTGAAGGGGGTTTACATTTAAAATATTTGAGTTGCCCCCTAAATACCCCCTTTTGGGGGACCCTCAAATATTTCAAAATCATAAAATGAAACTTCCGGCTAAGATTGCACGACCACCAAAAGGATATGTTTGTATATTTACTTAGAAAAATATGAGAGGGGGGTCTTGACTTTTTATTCACCCAGTATAGGCTATATTTTTCATAACATTTTGAACGGATAGTGTTTTGGCCTCTGGGGACATCAAAATGAATATGTAAATCGGTCCCGGACCCAAAGTCTTACTATGAGACTTTACAGTAAAAATGTCAAATTAACTACCTACACAGCAACTCTAAGAATAAAAAAAAATTATACATTTGTACAATAAGAGGTGGAAACGAACAAAATTTCTCTAAATTTAAGACATCCAAATAGACACACTTCTTCCACCAAACTGATTATTGATATAGGGTGCGATCGTTTTATTGGTCATAAAAAGTTTACATCAGAGGAATCATCAACGGATGTAAGCCTGTTAACTGAGTAGTTGCATTTGCATAATGACATATAAATCTAAATATGATTTAAAGACAAGACATTGAATAAACTAGCCTACCACATCTATCATATAATTTATACTTCTGTATCATATTAAATTATGTATATATTTCTTGGACAGAGACTAATTATTCAAAGAAAATAGTTGTAGGTACTTGAATTTACCATACTACAAATTTAATACAATAACTTTATTACTGTATTTTAAATAGGCCTACCTTATTAATTAAATCGGTAATTTTATTCTTAGGTTGTCGGCTACTCATCACTAAAATAAATTAATCACAATTTACAAAAAAAAAAAAAATGTGGAGGTATATTTCAAGTTTTCATCAAAACAGCCTCTGGTAACAACATATCAAGCATTGATAAACCCTTTAAAATGAGGAGTCACATGATAGGTGTTTACATTTGAAAATTCGTTGCTGCCCTCAAAATGAATTAAATCGTTAACTTATTCCTATTAATTCACAACCCATGCGCAAATTGTGTATTTTAATAGAGTTCAATCCTTAATTCCAAGGTACCGGTACCTACAATACTGATTGGGGTTAAACATTCAACTGAAATTATCCTTTATTTTTAAAGGAATATCATATAATTTTTAGTACTGTATTCGAAGACACTTTACCAGCCTATCTTGAAAAATACCATAAAAACACAGAAATTAGAAAAATGAACATTGGCGCCTTCACGAGAGTCGTGAGGCCTGAACGACTTGACGCATCCTGCATGG